AGATCCCTCTGCAATCTCTCCCTCCCTGCTAGCGTGCTCACCTCCCCCCAAATTTTGGTGTCATCAGCGAATTTAAACAGGTTACTTTCCACCCCATCATCCAGATCGCTGATGAAGAAATTGAACAGTGCAGGCCCCAGGACCGAGCCCTGGGGGACTCCGCTACCCACCTCCCCCCAGGTCGAGTATGACCCATCCACCACCACCTTCTGAGTGCGACCCCTCAGCCAATCTGCAATCCATCTGACTGTGTAGGCATCTATGCCACAGTCGCCTAGTTTTTTTAACTAGGATGGGGTGAAAGACGGTGTCAAAGGCCTTGCTGAAGTCCAGAAAGGCTACATCCACCGCGACACCTGCATCCATGGCCTTTGTGACCTGATCATAGAAGGCAATCTTCTTCTCCTCACTAATAGGTAGAATTCTCTTTTATTTGTTCTGGTTCTTAAAAACAGAAATCCTCTTTTATTCCTGAGCCTAATCAGAGAGTGGCCTGAGGGGCCTTAGTGTCCCAAAAGGAGGGGTCTTCCAGATACCCTGGATCTAGAAATGATCATTGGAAACTCCCTCTAGAAGCAGAAAGCTGAAAGAGAGGTGTCAAGAAGTGATTCAGTCCAACATGCTATACTGAGGCAGGATCAGGTAATCCTAGACCACCCCCTAAAAGGTGTTTAATCTGCTCTTACAAAACTTCCAATGAAGGATATCCCACAACATCCTTAGATAGTCAGTTGTGATGTTTCACCACCCTAATGGTTAGAAAGGTTTTCCCAATATTCAGTCTAAATCTTTCTCTGCAAATCTGCCGATTTGTTCTTATCCTTCCTTTGGGACCATGGCAGACAATTGGTCCTCATTCTTTCAATAACAACGTTTACATACTAAGAGAATGTTATCATGTGCCCATCCCTCATCTTCGTTGTGAACTAATATGCAGTTCCTGTGATCTTTCCTCAGTGTTCATGTTTTCTAAATCCTTCATCAGTCTTTCTACTCCTCCTCCTCTGGACTCTCCAGTATTTCTTACAGTGTGGGACCAAACTTCTGACACAGCAGTCCAGCTGAGGCCTCACCAACAAGTACAGTGGAGCAATCATCTCCTATGCTTTACATGAAAGCACTCCTGTTATAGTAACAGAAACAAGGAAAAAATAGAGTTGTAAGAAAATTCAGGAGGTCATCCCTCTGCTCAAGGCAAGATTATGCCTGCCCAAATTCTCTGACCTACTCTTAAAAATTTTCTACAGCCATTTTCACCAAATGATTAACTCTTACAAACTAATTAATAAATTTGCTCCAGAAACTTTCTAGGGATCAAAGTAATCTGAACAGTCTGTAATTCTCTGTATCCTCCTCTGTCCCTTTGCCTTCACCCCTGAAACTTAGGGAATTCCTCTGTCCTCCATTAGATATTTGCAATAACCCTGACTTGCACCCTCCAGAAGTACACTGAGGAAGCCTCTTCTAGGATTACTTTTCTTTCTGGAGATTTCCATTACAAGTGTTTAATGACCTTCCAATATCCAGTTTTCCTCTGGATACTTGGAGAAGGCCAAGGGCAGATCCTTGGGGCTTCAGTAGTGCAGGTATAGCACATAAACAGAACTTTCTTCCCCCAAGACCTATGGTCTCCACTGTCCGTCATACCTTCTGCACTAGGTGAGCTCTCCACCACACCCCTCAAATCCTGGATATGTTCTTGAAAGCAGCCTGCAAACATCCAGTTGGTTAGGCCTGGTTCCACATTAGTCAGTACCATTTCAGAATAGCTCATTATATGAAATCCACCAAGATATCCAGAATAGCAGATGCTGCAAAGAAAGCCTTCCACAAGTGAATTTAACTTATGTTTGGAAGCTGTGGTCTCTCCAAATATAGGAACTCATCTATAGTAGTCCCAACAAGGGAAACAGATGTTGCTGAAGGCTTTGCCTGATGTCCTTCCCTATTGCTTATTAAGGATCTACCACAGCAATTGTCTTGTTCTTATAAAAGAGTCTAACAGAGGTATCAACTCCCTTCAAAACTTTCTAACCTTTCCTAGACTTGCTCTACTCTCCTCCCTGATGAGGTTGTCCTAATTAGTAGCTACTGTGATAAGCAACCAGCTGGGAAGATTTTTTCCCAGAGAAGAAGAGAAACAAACAGCAGTTTACTGTAGATGTAGCTTGCAGTCTGACCCTAAGATAGCAACAACTGGGCTTATTATATCTGCTGAGAACCATGTGAGAGGTAGGAGAGGAGATATAGAAAAAGCATGAAGGGGACTGCAGACCTCTTTGGAGGCAGAGAATTATGGTAGGATCCTGGAACAATGGCCCAGTCACTGAGGCACTCATATATCAGGTACTCTCTCCTGCAAGCTGGAAATGGGGAATGCACCCTCACACGACATTGTGCCTCAGAAGCCAGAAATTGTTTTATTTTGTTTTCAATAACTTTTACATTATTACCCGTTTACTCCATATTTGGCATTCCCTGAGATTGGTATATGAAGCACAGAAGTGCTAACCAATGCTACAGCAGTGTTTTCTGCAACCATGACTGCCAAGTAAGATGGGTTTGGGATTCAAATTGAAATGGACTTTGCAAACTAATGTCTTAGTACTGCAAAGGCACATGCAAGTATTTAAATTTATGCCAGGTGAGCGGTCTGCAAACAAGACTTCGCAGTATTCAGGTCTGAGGACCAAGACCTGAAGATCCAACAAATTGCTGAACTGCTCTGTGAGGTGCTGAGCAAAATTTTAAATTAAATTTGATAGTCCATGAATTTTTTATAATGCTACCTTTCTCCACCAATAACACCTGACCCCTTCCAAATCAGGAGTGGATGAGAGCTAGAGACATGTGGTTGTCAAATTCTTTGTATGGAATCATATTTATTTTTCTAAATGTAATCATTATTTCATTAGCTAGCCAATGATGCTCTGCTTAGATTTTATCCTAAAATGTATAGTCTATGAAAACATGATCAAACAGATAATTAGATTCATGAAGAAGATCCAAAAGGAAACTGAAAATGTTAACTCATCTTAGAAATTTTCCTGATTAGTGTTTGGTGTTTGTATGCATAAGCAGATATCTTACACACCCCAACCAAAGATGGGAGATGCCACCCTCCCTTTCTAAATTCTCATCCACAGCATTGAAGTACACATCATCTACATGCATTAGTTTCCTTACCCTTTCACTAGAAGGGCATGTAATGTAGAGGCATTTCTATTCTTCCAGTCTGAGTGCAGTTTTAGCCATTTCTGATGCTGTAGCTCTTCAGGTTCTTGTACAATTTCTGTTGTAGGCAGTCCCCTGAAATGAACAAAAAAAAAACAAAAAAAAAAAACAAACACATTCATGAATCTTTAATCGTCTGTGACTTTGACTACCCATACATTACATTATGGGAGAGAAAGACACTTTCATTCTTCCCCTGTACTCCAAAGACAGCCAACTGATTTACAAGCAATTGAGGGGAAGGGGTTTGATCAAAGTCATACATTTATTACTATTCATGAAAAATTTTCTGATAACTAGGACCAGGAATGAAGATGAGAAATGGAAATTTCAAGGGTTTTCTCTGATGGTATAAAATGCATATGCTTTTTCATTCCTGCTCTATTTGGATTAAAATGTGAATGAGCATATTCAAGATGTTCTATCCATCAAGTTCTTTCCTCACAACTATTTTCCTAAATGATCATGTACATGACTGTTTGCCTATCAGGACTGATGATTAGATGATGATCCAATTGCATTCGTGCTGATCATGGGAGCCTCCCCAGGAGAAGATTTTAGCAAAAAATCAAGAATCTCTTCAATGACACACGAGGCTCAGTAGAGCCAAGAACTGGAAAGTGTTCAAGTTCAGTTTTCTTCTTTGCTCTGAGGGTGAGCAAAACTTTCTGTCTCTGAAGATCTCTGTTTGAAGGCTATTGATACAAAGCCTTCAATCCTCAGGCACAAATTAATGCTATGGTGCTATACATCAAGTGTTGGAACATCAGAAAATCATATATATTTCTCTTGAATTAAATTTAGGATTTAGGAAAAATAGTGTGATGACACTTAACCTCAAGAAAGATTCCTGTTAACCATTTATATATTGGTTAAATGAGTTCTGTTTATAGTGGGGGATACAGATCAGACATGTAAACAAATATCACACCACTCCATCCCAAAAATATGAAAGCCTTTTACTGAAGGAAGTAGCAGATTCTCAAGTTAAACACAGCAACATGAAGATTATTCTTAGATTTTGATTTCAAAATGGTTGTTGCACCTGTGTGCTACAATGATAACCATGTCAATCAATCAATCAGAGAGAAGTAAGGCTGGAAGGGACTTCAAGAGATTGTTTAGTCCAACGTGGGACCAAACCTGCAACCTTGGTGTTATTAGCACCAGGGCTTAACAGAGTTAAACTGTCAAAATAGGTAACTTCCTTGGTATACATATTTCATTGCTGTGAAGTTGACTATCATCAGCCTAAAAACTTGAGAGAAACATGTTTCTGAATATTTCCTATTCATATTTCAGTAGAAATAAATGGAAAATGTGAGGTTTTTTTGTAATTCCAGACTTTTCCCACTTTACACCAGGACAAAACTGAGTCCCCTTGAAGTAAGAGAGACAGATACTACTGGCCCCAGGATACCCAATAGCCCAGTGGTTGGGGCACTTAACTTGAACACAGCAGGGGCCCTGCTGTAATTATATATAAAAAAAATAAGCTAGTTCCAAGAAGAGAGAGACGTGTCCCAGCATAGCAAGGGCTAGAACATGGGCTCAAGTCCATACTTTAAACCAGCCGGAGCAGACAACTCCACTCCTAAGTGAGCATCCCACCACTGGGCCATAGGTAGCTCTGGAATGTGTAGCGCTGTCATTTTGACAGGATATTATATCCTTATTAAAGCTGGCACATACATTCCTATGAAGAGTTGCAGTTTGTATACACTGACAATTTCATTTCAAAATTATTTTATTGGAAAATTCCTGACCATACTAGTTGTGAGGTAGTTTAAGTTCCCTCTAAAGCTCAGCTAGAGCAGTTAACTGAGCCCAGTTCTGAAGTTCAGCCAAATGTTCATTCCCAGGCATTAACTTGAGTAGCCACTTAAGCTACTAAAAATATCCACAGGGTTGGGAGGGGAGAATGAGTGTTAAAAACGCAGACAGGAAGTGACAGGGTACAGTCAAATCCAAGTCATGCCCCATCTCCTAGGCTAAGTACAGACAGCCAAAACAAAGCCAGAGACTGAATTTATTCAATCTTTTCAGGTTAGCCAAAGCTGCAGAGATTGAACCAATACCCAAATGAGCAGACAATCACTCTTGATTCAGGAAATACAGCTATATACAGCCAGAAGCCAAGGGGTGCTACAGCACAACTCTCTGGCATGTAGCCAGTGTGGGCTGTGTATTCGCTTCCTCTTCCTGCTGCACCTGAGGTTTCTGAGATTTGCAGTCCACAATCATAGCAGCAGGACTCTGCAGGGTTGCTCATCACTTCCTCTTCTTGTTTCCAGATGCCTCTAGGATTTGTAGTCCACAGTTGCAGCCAGTAGGGCAGGGCAGCTCTGTATTTGGGGGAAGGTGAGTTTAACACTGTCACGGGGCGGGCCCTAGGAGCGGCCATGATCTCGCTAGCGCCCCCCCCGCCGTGCCAAGTTATGAGCTCCAGCACCCTCTGATTCTCGCCCGCCATGTCTTTAATGGTATCTAACTTAATATGGGAGGCTGCCTTTAATCCACCTGGACACGGTGCTATAAGTATCCGGGCTCCTACTCGCTATGGGTGACCTGGTGCACCCCAGCCTTATGGGCTATGCATGCCTCCTACCTCCCTTTTAGCACGCCCCAAGCCTCGCAGCTGTTCCAAACATTGTCTGGCACCCTGGGCTTGTCACGCAACCCATGACCTTCCTCAGGCACCCCTGGGCTTGTCATGCAACCGACGCCCCTTGCTCTAGTGCCCCCGTGTTTGCTAGCCCTCGCCCCTCTCTGGGGCCTACTCCTGTGTTCGCCCTTCTTCGGGCTCTATTGCACGCCTCGGCCCAGCCTCGGGCCTTCACCCGCACCCTCACCCTCTCTGGGGCTCGTCCCGCGCTTCTCGTACCCTCACCCTCTCTGGGGCTCATACCGTGCTTCTCGCACCCTCACCCTCTCTGGGGCCTGTCCCAATATGCGCTTCTCGCACTGCGCCCTCTCTGGGGCCTATGTCTGCGCCTCTCACGCTTGCTGGGGCCTATACCCACGCCTTCCGCGCTATTGCCCTCTCTGGGCCTGTCCCGCGCTCCTTGCACTTGCCTTTTCTGGGGCCTGTCCCCACATGTGCTTCTCGCACTGCACCCTCTCCCTTCTCTGGGGCTTGTCCCACTAAGCCGCGCCTGGGGCTCAGGTGGCCCATAGCCGTGCCCGGCCCCCTGACCCTTCTCGGGGTCCTTCACCCTACTGGGCCAAATACCACCCTCACAGGCTGGGGTGGTAACCCCCACACACCACACCACACCGGCGCCCAACAGCCGTGCCGCCCAGGCACTGCTCTGTGCCCCCAAACAGGGCACCCAGGAAACCCCCCCCCCCAAACTACTGGGGACCTCCTGTGAGGCCTCCTCACACCCCTACAGCCTCACCCAGTCCTCCGGTGTATTTACACAACTAACACCACAGAACCATAAGCCTACCGGCTATAACAAAGTCCAGGCCCCACCTGGCCTTCCAGTAAGACCTCCTAGTCAGGGTTCTCTCCCCCCTTGCCATGATGCAGCTACTCACTCTATCAGTCTGCCCAATTCAGCTTGGCTCCACTGCAGAGCTCTTGCTCCTCCAGCAGCCTGAAGGTAACTACTAACTAGGCTCTGGCCTGGGCTGTTTATAAAGGCCCGGCCCTGCCCCCTGGCAGTCAGCTGACTCAATCAGTTGCTCTAGCAACCCTCACCTGGGCGGCCCTGAAGCTTGGCAGCTAAGCCCACACCACTATTCCTAGTAGCAGGCACCCCAGTGTCCTGCTACAAACACCCCTCCCTGGCCCCAGATCCCAGCTCAGATTTGCCTGGTGGGGCCAATGAGCTAGCCAGTGAGCCAGCCCTCACTGCGCCAGCTAGGGAGCAAAAGGGCAGGGCCAGCCCTGCTCTCTGGAGCAGACGGCACAGCCCAGCCCAGCCCAGCCCAGGCCTGCAAAGCATGCTAGGTGGGGTTCTCTGATTTAACTCGAACCAGGGAGGGGTCTGGGACAGAAGTATCATAAACCAGTTTCATAGAATCATAGCTGGGTTTTGAAAACCTCCAAGGATGGAGCTCCCACCACCTCTCTAGGTAACTTGTTCCAGGGCTTTACTAGCCTCCTATTACCCTACCCTCCTTAAAACCCTGCCCATTAGGAAGGAAATTCTTCCTAATATCTAACCTAAACTTTCCTTGATGCAACTTGAGACTGTTGCTCTGTGTTCTGTCATCTGTCACCACTGAGAACAGTCTAGCTCCATCTTCTTTCAAACCCCACATCAGGTAGCTGATACTACATTCAGCTAGGTTTATCTTAAATCAGTTTTGGTCATTTTGATACTGGTTTATGTGCACTGAACTTCTGTTCTGTTACAAGTTTAACCCAGTTTCTGATCACTTAAATCGGTTTATGTGTAACCTCTGTCCCTAGCCCAGGTCACATATTCTCTAGTACCAGGAAGACAAGGCTACACTCAGATCTATGTAATATTAGAATACAGTTAAGACTGCACATTCCCTAGGAATGTTCATAGCAGACAACAGAGCCAACAATTTTACTCCAATTGAAATAGAAGGATAACTGAACTTAATATATTTTTAGGAAGGAAGGAAGGATTATTGCTTAGGGCTAAATTCCCTAGTGGTCAAAGAAAACTAAATATTAATGCAGAAAGTATAAACAGAGGAAAATGTGTTTGGGATATAATTTTCAGGCATCAAAATTGTGAAATTTAAGCCAACACACCTTAAACAAACAAATAGATGTTGCCTAGCCTGAATCTACTAGTAAAGACGGGGTCTTATTTCTTTTTTAAAAACTAAAATACATTTTTGAAAATTCACAAGGTACTTGGAAAGCAGCCTGCTCACTGACACTGAAACAATGCAATGGGCTATAGCTTTAAGTATTTTAAGAGTGTTGAAATGAGAGGTGAACCCTCCTTTCCCCACAAGACATTACTAAGGTGTCAAGGGTCCAGGGAAAATAATTGGAAAGGAAAATTAAAACCCTGTTGTTATTATTACTGTTTAAATGCTGACAATGCACTTAAGAATGATGTTCCCAGTTCAGTAAAGCACTC